GCTGCGCTCCTGGCCACCTCTCGTCACAGTAGGTGAACTTCATGTCCAGGCTGTGCCGGCTGAGGAAAGCCCCCCGGCCCAGCGGGGGCTCCAGGCTGCCCGGGTGGGGGATGGCTTCGCAGATGAGCACCAGGCATTGCAGGGGGGGCTCTCCGCCGGGGCTCCCCGCCGGGGAAGTCTGTACCTGGGGCTTGTAGACCCTCATGTGTCCTGAGCAGTGTAGCACCTGGTGGGGGAGAGGCGAGGCGGGGATGCACTTGGGCCTGGAGCTACCCATGGGGCTGCGGGGTACGTCTTTGTGAGCCCTGCAGGGAGCTGAGAAGAAATCCCTGAGGACTAGAGACCCCGGGAGCACAGCTCTGAGGACCCCCAGTCCCTAACCCCACAGAGACTCAACCTGAGAAGCTCTGACGAGTCTGGGTTCTAAGCTGCAGGGAGGTCTGAGAACCCCAGATTCCAACCTCATGGAACCTCCAGGCCCAGGGGGCTGGGAGCCTCCTCCCCAACCCAACTTCGGGCCCACAGAACCAGACTAAGAAAGGGTACAAGGCCCCAGGGCCCCCAGCTGCACAGACCCCCCAACCTCCCAGATACCTGGAGGGCCCACCAGTCCCAGCCTGAGGGAGCCCCATAGGAGACCCCTGGACTCCAACCCGCTGTAGAAGCTTCGGGGCTCAGGCCCAGGCCCTGCCCACCTTCCAGGTGGCCGCCTTGAGGTTGAGAGTGCGCCCGCGGCTGGTGAGGGTGCTCTTCATGCGCAAGGAGAAGCACCGCTCGCTGGGGGCCTCCGGCTTCTTTCTGGACAGGCCTGGGGAAGACCACAGGGGCGGGGCGGGGCGGGGGGCGGAGCAGGTCACTGGGGCAGCTTCCGGCAGGACTCAGTTCCCTCCACAACCCCAGTTACGTAAGTCTCCCACGCCTCACCCCCAAACTTGAGACTTGGAACCAGAAAGGGTCTTCCAGGGCTAGGGTATGCTCCTTCAGACCCGGGGGGGCCGGATCCCCTCGGATCCCCATTTT